TATAGTAGGGCTCTGTTGGCCAGCCAGGGAGTAACTGGAGACCACAAACAGCTTCCCTGTTGCCAAGCTGTGGCCAGCAGACCCATCAGCTCCACCCTCCTTCCATGCGCTAAGGCCCCAGGGAGCCAAGGATCTTCGATATGTGCTGCCAAGAAGCTCTGAAAAATGCTTTTCTGGCCCCTACAAGAAAACATCAGTCGTGCATTTCTCATGAAAGAGGACATGGAAAAATCAGCCTGGGATAGCAATGAGGTCTGCCCAGGGCACTCATCCCCACTGGCTTCCCCAGGCCAAGGAGAACTAGCGGTCAGTCCTGCCCTATCTGGGGACTGAGGTTGACTTTGGTTCGATCCTGAACTTAACATCAATGTCAGGGCTCCAGAATGAACCCTGCTCCTCTGCCAACTGACCGGCTCTGGGCTATTAGGAGCAAGAAGGCTTAGCCTGCCCACCCTCTCCTGTCACTCATGAGGAAACTGAGGCACCAACAGAGTAGCGGACTTCTCCAAAGTCTTCCAGCTCTCCTGGGTTAGCCCAGCCGCCTGCACTGCCCCACAGAGTCAAGCTGCCTAAGCCTCATAGTAATAACAGACGCGGTGCTGTGGTTTGTGGCTATTTAGCAACCAGCCAGGTGCTTGGTAAATGGTGAAGCTACAACCAGGAAATCCATTTATTCTGGGGAAAGTTGTTCATCTGGGAGGTAGCGGAGGAGGAGAGAAAGACTAATGCTTTGGAAAATAATTTGGAAGATAATTCAGAAAAAAAGTTTTACAGAGGAAAAGGGAGAAAAAGAAATGAGAATGAGAACCCACATTTCTTGAAGGGTTTTATTCTTTTGTCATGGCAAATGCCACACATTCATTGCAGCTGGGAAACATCTCTTCAAAGGGAAAACACGACTCATGCCCACGGGCTGGCTCAGCTATCCGCCCGGGGGAAGCTGCAGAATCTGGCTTCAGAGCCATCTTTGAAGTGTCTGTCCTTGGGGCAGGCGCCTGTGTGCACCAAGGTGGGAGCCCACCCGACCGCCAGTGAGTCAGTTGTGGCCACAACACTGGTTATGAGGAATAATCGCTATCACAACATGAGTCTGGACTCTAATTCTGGAAGAGTTTCTGGCAGATTCTTTTCTCTTTGGCCTCTTATTAATTTAGTGAGCAGTGCGCTCACTGCCAGTTTTTCATGTGTCACTTCTGGAAGACAGACAGCATAAAGAACTTCACTTCATGGCATGTGCGGAACTTCCTGAGTTTGCCCAAATCATTCTGTTGGCATTAGGGCACACGCATTTTATTCAGGTGAGGTGCATTGCCAGAGGCGCTGATGGAATGAAATATTATCATCATCCCTGGTTACTCTAAGAATGCTATAGTAATACCCAGGCAGTAAGGGGAAAATACCAAAGCAAAATGAACATACCTATTTTCAGAACGAGAGACTTTAATCCCATGACAATGCTCCTGACAATGCTTTTATTTTTACCCTTTGAAACCGTGATAGGTGCAGTAGAGCCTGCTGTATTTTAAGAAGCTGGGGCAAGGGGGGAGTAGCGGGGTCTGTGCTGTGCCTTGGCCAATTCAAGGTCATTTATGCACACAAACATTTTAGGGGGAAAATACCAATATTTCTTAAATAAGTTGCTTTAAGCAACGAATGTCTCTTTTTCTCCAAGAATGAATGAGGATGAACAATGCCCCGCCGGCCGTCTCACAGGATGTGACTGAGACTTTCCCAGCCAGGCAGCAGAGCCCCCTCTCCTTCACTCTTCCTGTCCATTTCTCACGCCCCCGTTTTCTCAACAAAGCGTTATCATTAGAGGACGGCGGCGAAAGGACGCTGCACCTGCGCTCATGTAGTGTGTGCAGATATCCGTGAAGGCGAGGCTTGGTTTGCTTCAAGACCTTAGAAAATAACCCCCAGTTTGGAAGCAGGGACCCAAGGAAAAACGTTATAAAAAAGAGGGAGGGAAGGAGGGAGGAAGGAAGGAAGTTAGGAAGGAAGGTGAGAAAGAGAAAAGAAAGGTGAGAAAGAGAAAAGAAAGGTAAGAAAGAAAAGCACCTCCCATCGCCGAATTCCGGAGACCACGCGGTGGGCGGGCCCGGGAGCCGGTGCGCGGGGCGGGGACGCCGGCGCGGTGCTGCCCCCTGTCGGCCACAGACGCTGCTGCAGACAGCTTCGCGGGCCGGTGCCCAGGACCGTGGGGACGCGCCTACCACGGGGGTCTAAGCCTGCGGGGTGGGGTTTTTTGTTTTGTTTTGTTTTGTTTTTTAAGGGTCGGCACACACATTTGAAAGTGCATTAAAGACAGGCGTGCATTTGTTAAAGGGGTAGAGGATAAATGGGAGTTTTTGTTTTTGAGAGCTCGTTTTGCTCTGCCGCCCAGGCTGGAGTGCAATGGCGCGATCTCAGCTCACCGCAACCCCCGCCTTCGGGATTCAAGCAATTCTCCTTCCTCAGCCTCCTGAGTAGCTGGGATTACAGGCACCTGCCACCACGCCTGGCCAATTTTCTATTTTTAGTAGAGAAGAGGTTTCACCTTGTTGGTCAGGCTGGTCTTGAACTCCTGACCTCGATGATCCACCCGCCTCGGCCTCCCAAAGTGCTGGGATTACAGGCATGAGCCATTTTTAAGATTCCCGGCCTGGAATCTTAAAAAGAAGGATAGCTGTAGTGAAGATAGTCTTCCCTAACATTATACTCCTAAGCTCTCTAGCTTTCTTTAACGTTATAACCCCTTTGATAAATTTTTTTAAAAAGATTTGATGGAGAGAAAGTGATGCGAACAGTACCTTGTGACTGCAGGAGGAGTGTCAGGGTCTGTGGTTCCTGGCTGTATTCCGGGGGGCCTGCCCACCAGCCCCCAGGCAATATTTGATGAATGAACGTGACCCTGGGTTTCAGTATCAGTCAAATGGAATAATTAATGGACAGCCCACTCGGGAAACAGGATGTTTGGGTTAGCTAAACATAAGCGTTAGAGGAGGGGTAAGTAAAAATATCCTTTTTATAAATCCAGCCTTTCTTGATGACAACATTGCTAAAATACAGCATTGCTAAATACCAGATGATGGACTTACCAGAGCATGAGGGTCACAGTGAATGGGCCGTTGCTGAACTGCCCACAGATAACTGGAAGCTGAACTTGGGCACACGTAGGAAGTAGGGGATGTCCTTAGGTACACTGAGAGCCGCCAGTCTTCACAGCTGTATAGTATTTTATCTGACTAGCTGCCTATCGGGGGTCGTTCAGGTGACTTCCAGTCCCTGGCTATTACACATCTGTATCCCAAGGTGGCGCTTTTCAAATGAAATCCCTGAAGGGAATTTATTTTCTTCTGATTTTCCCTCTTCCCAAATGTCATCTGCTGAAAGTTCTGGTAACTTGGGTTCTCCACAGGAAAAGACCAGCTTCCTTCAGCCGGGGTACCTGCACTGGGCTGCTGGGGAGGGTCTCATGGCCTCTTCAAATGCCGCTGGTGACCTGCTGTGTCTATCTGAAAGTCACTTGATCTCCTGTCCCCTGTTCTCCCTACTCTCCTTTACTCTCTGCTATGGTTTGTGTCCCCCCAAGAGTTCATGTGTTAAAAACCCAACTGCCGGCCGGGCGCGGTGGCTCAAGCCTGTAATCCCAGCACTTTGGGAGGCCGAGACGGGCGGATCACGAGGTCAGGAGTTCGAGACCATCCTGGCTAACACAGTGAAACCCCGTCTCTACTAAAAAAATACAAAAAACTAGCCGGGCGAGGTGGCGGGCGCCTGTAGTCCTGGCTACTCGGGAGGCTGAGGCAGGAGAATGGCGTAAAAACCCGGGAGGCGGAGCTTGCAGTGAGCTGAGATCCGGCCACTGCACTCCAGCCTGGGCGACACAGCGAGACTCCGTCTCAAAAAAAAAAAAACAAAAAAAAACAAAAAAAAACCAACTGCCGTGGTAACAGGGTGGGAGGTGGGGCCTTGAAGAGGTGATTGCGTCAGGAGGGCTCTGCCATCTGAGGAGAGGTTCCTGGTAAAAGGATGAGTTCTGCCCTTCCCTCTCTGTCACTTGCTTCCACCTTCTAGCGTGGGAGGACTCTCACCAGATGCCAGCACCACACCCTTGGGCTGTTGGGCTTTCCAGCCTCCGGAGCCATGAGTCAAATACACTTGTACTTTTTTTTTTCTTTTCTTTTTTTGAGACAGTTTCGCTCGTTTCCCAGGCTGGAGTGCAATGGCACAATCTCAGCCCACTGCAACCTCCGCCTCCCTGGTTCAAGTGATTCTCCTGCCTCAGCCTCCTGAGCAGCTGGGATTACAGGTGTGTGCCACCATGCTAGGCTAATTTTGTATTTTTAGTAGAGATGGGGTTTCTCCACACTGGTCAGGCTAGTCTTGAACTCCTGACCTCAAGTGATCCACCCACCTCGGCCTCCCAAAGTGCTGGGATTACAGGCATGAGCCACCGTGCCTGGCCAACTTGTACTCTTTACAAATTACCCCATCTGTGGTATCTGTGATGGCAGCAGAAAACAAAAAAAGCAAAGGACACTCCTTGTCCTTTACCTCCTGACTACAGCTATCCACAGAGTTGTTTAGTGTAAAATAAATTTAGGTGTAGTTTCTTAAATTGTCAGAGGAAAGGAGTTAAAGAAAAAAGTAACAAATAAGGCCTAAAAATAAATTACTGCACATTATTCATAACCTAGAGAAAAGTTATCTTTAGACGACTACCAAAATTTGGAAAACATAAGCCGTTAAAAAATATTCAGAGTACTCTACTGGTAGGTGTTTATCTCTGGGGTTTCATCAGAAATGAGTGATGTGTACCTTAAACTTCAATAAACCTCAGTGTTCTTACAACATATTTCTTAATATATCAATTTGACTTTTAAAAACTTACTGAGCAATCCAATTGACTTTATTTTTGGCATTTTTGTTTTTAAAGCTAAAGAGAAACAAACATTATGCCACAAAGTAAATGAAAAAATATTTTTGTATGCTGGAAGCTGAATGTTGTTTTCTAACAGCACACCGGGTGGGACGTGGGCTAGACGGAACCAGAGAGGTCCAGGATGAGCTCCTGACTCTACTATTTCCTGTCACCTGGGGCCAATGCCTTCATCTCTCCAGGCCCGGGCTCCTCACCAGGAGCACAAACCAGCCGCGGAGTTGCAGGAGCTCTGAAAATCCACCCAGACGTCTGCAGTGCCTCTTCAGGAAGCCCCAGAGCCTTTAAGAGCAAACGGTGCCCTTCAACCAATGCTCTTGGTATGTCCCAGACTGTTGTTTGTGCTGAAGCTTCATTTTCTCAGTATCTGCTTTTTCCTCATTGTTGGAGAATTTCCCTTTCTGCTCTCAACTTAAAAATTAACATGTCTTTGAAATAAGAAATATGTGCACATAGCAGAAAATGTAAAAGATACAAGAGTAAAAAGTAGGTCTCCTCCCCAACCCCAGCCTCCAGAGCCCCTCATAAGAGGCACCACAATACCCCCGTTCTAAGGATGCCTGTGTGTGCGTATATATGTAGGCGTTTAAAACAGAATTTGTCATATGTACATATTATGTCGTATTTTCCCTTTTAAGATAGAAACGGCAGCATGCTATATACGCCTTTCCCCGCTGTGTATTGGTGATTGATTGATCCACTTATGACTCTTAGAGCTGCCTCCTTCTTCCTCACAGTGCACAGTGTCTAACTCAGCGGGCCTCGTTCTTCCTCACAGTGCACAGTGTCTAACTCAGCGGGCCTCTTCTTCCTCACAGTGCACAGTGTCTAACTCAGCGGGCCTCGTTCTTCCTCACAGTGTACAGTGTCTAACTCAGTGCCTGTTGGGGGTGTTTAGGTGGCTTCCAATCTCTTGCTATTACAGCAGTGAACACGTATCCTTGTACGCATATCATTCGGCACATGGGCAAGTGTATCTGAAATAGTCAAAGGGTGTGTGAATTTAAAATCTTGATATTTATACCAAATTGCCCTCCATAAAAGTTGTGCTGATTCATACCCCTGTAGTTGGATGAGAATGCCTTTCCTTCACAACCTTGCCAACGTAGCCTGCTGGGTGCCAGGAAAAAAAAAAGGGCTGCTCAGTAGAGTCTCCACATGCACTTCGCTTATGCCTGAAGCTAGCGTGGCTTTCTGTATCGAGCGTTTGAGTCATTTGACCTTCCTTCCCTGGGAACAGTCCCGATCTTTGCTCATCTTTCCATGACGTCGCTGGTCCTTTTCTTACTGATTTGTGGGAGCTCTTTGTGCCTTGGGTTGCAAACATTTTTTCCCAGTTTGCCCTTGTATTTTTCTTACTTTACTTTGCCAAGAAGAAACGGTGTATAATTATGTAACTTCATTTCTCAATCTTGTCTTCTGTGACTTTTGGGGACTATGAGCAGCTAAATAGGGCCTCATCCACTCCAAGATTATAAATATAATTGCTTGTGTTTTTCTCTGCTTTTGTGGTTTTATTTTTTACATTTAAATCTTTGATTCATCTGGAATTTATTTTCACAGAGGAGTGAGACCCAGGCTGTCCCAACAGCATTTACTGAATGACCCATCTCTCCATTCCATCCATATGGAAAGCCACCTTCCAAATGCCTATTGTAAAACTTACCCACCTAAAGTGATCCTTGCTGTGCCCATCAGTACTCCTGATGTTCAGTCCATCTCCCGACCTGTCTTTCTCAGCATTCTCTCTGACTGCTGTGCCTTTAGGGAGCAGTGGCTCAGGCCTGTAATCCCAGCACTTTAGGAGGCCAAGGCAGGCAAATCACGTGAGGCCAGGAGTTCAAGACCAGCCTGACCAACATGGCGAAACCCCGTCTGAACTAAAAATACAAAAATTAGCCGGGCGTGGTGGCATGCCTCTGTAATCCCAGCTATTCCAGAAGCTGAGACAGGAGAATCGCTTGAACCCAGGAGGCGGAGGCTGCAGTCTGCCAAGACCATGCCACTGCATTCTGGCCTGGGTGACAGAGCAAAACCGTGTCTCAAAAGAAAGAAATACCACCTGACCCAGTGCCCAGCCTGCAGGTGGGCACTCTTCTACCCAGGCCCCACCCTCAGACACTCCACCAAGGAACAAGCCCTGGCTTCGCACTATGGCTTACACCTGCAATCCCACACTATGAGAGGCTGAGGCAGGAGGGTCACTTGAGCCCAGGTATTCAAGATGAGCCTGGGCAACAAAGCGAGACCCCCATCTCTAAAAAACAAAACAAAACAAAACAAAAATTAGCCACATGTGGTGGTGCACACCTGTGGTCCCAGCTACATGGGAGGCTGAGGTAGGAGGATCCCTTGAGCCTAGGAGGTTAAGGCTGCATTGAGCTGTTTGTGTCACTGTCCTCCAGCCTGGGTGGCAGAGCGAGATTCTGTCTAAAAAAACAAAGCCTGGCCTTCCACAAAACCTTTCAGTAGAGGCTCCACACTTCCGTGGGCTCACTTTTTCCTTTCCTTTTTTTTTTTTTTTGAGACAAGTTCTCACTCTGTTGCCCAGGCCACAGTGCAGTGGCCCAATCGCAGTTTACCACAGCCTCAGCCTTCCTGGCTCAAACTTCCCAAGTAGCTGGGACCACAGGCAAACATGACCACACCTGCCTAATAGTTTTCAATTTTTTTGTAGTGATAAGAGTCTCATACTATGTTGCCCAGGCTGGTCTCAAACTCCTGGGCTCAAGTGATCCTCCCACCTCTGCCTCCTGAGTAGCTGGGAATTTACAGGTGTGAACCACTGGGCCTGGCTGGGTCTCACTTTTTCTAATCTTCCCAGTAACCCAGGAGATGGTGAGAGGTGATCGGAGGGAGAAGGGCAGAGAGGGCTCTCCTGGCAGGAAAATGCATGAGCAGCTTTGGCAGTCAGCAGTCTGGAGTCCCAGCCCAGCAGCCATCCCCTGAAGACTGTCTTTCCTTCAGCAAATGTAAGCCACCCACCTCTGTTTGCCCATGGGGAGTGATCTCATCACTGCTGCTAAATAATATGAAAAATGATGCACACGACACCTTCAGCCACCTGCTGCAACTGTCACTCCCGCTCCTGGGACCCCCCAGCACTGAGGCTCCACACATGGGCAGATCTGGGTGGCCCAGACCGTGCTCCCGGAACCCCGTGCGTCATTCTCATCCATAACCTCCCTCTGCTCCCAGATCCTGCCTGGGGCGACACAGGTGTCATCTGTAGCAAGGGCAACTCAATTTAAATTCCCACACACAGAATGCCAGGGCTGCTAACTCTCAATATGTCCTCCAGCCCTGCTCTGTGTTCTGAGCTCCAACCGGTCATTGTCACCTGTACGCCTTTCAGGCAGGCAAAACTCAACAGGCTTGATACTAAATTCATTATTTCCTCCCACAACACTTGTTCCTAAGTCTATTTTCCCATTTTGCTCAAATGCCATCAACAACCCGAGCCAGAAACACGGGAGACGTGCCTTTGGGAGGCTGTGTGCTACTCTTAGGCCCTCAGCCCAGCCTGTGGGGAGCCATGGGTTTGCCTGAGAGTTCGAATCTGATACAGAAAGATGCAGGGCCAGCGGCTTCTGTCCAGAGAAGTTAGACTCTGGTTCTGAGAGATTCCCCATGTGGCTTCAATCCTATTTGGCATATCAGAGGCATACCACAAGGTTGGAGAAAGAAGAATGCCATAGCCCGTCCCTTCGGGTCCTGGAAATGGAGGGAAGAGAGAGGAAAAGCAAGAGCACCAAGACACCAAAATGAACGGCACCATGTGTGTGCCCTGCAGGCTCCAGCTGAAGCACAGGAGTGAGAAGGGCGGGAGGGTCCCACCCAACTTCCCCGTGGGCAGGGGCTCTGAGGGGGCTCTGCCACAGTGAGCTTGGTCCTCTGTAGAGTAGCCAGGAGGCCCTAAAATTGGGCTTCCCAGGACAGCCTAGGGGTCCTGTGTGTTGTCGAGTAAAAGGAAATCTCCCTACCCACCAGCCGGCAGGGAGAGGCTCCGGGGAAGCCCAGATGCGTTTTAGACAAAATCATCACATTTGCTCTGACTCTCCACAGCACTTGTCTTCTTAAAGAGCGTCTTTCACGCTGGTCCTAGTCTCCCCTTCCCACCGGGCTGCCTGAGTGAAGCCCTAGGTCCTTTGGATGGAGCGTTGGAGCGCCTGCATTGTCCAGTCCATGCCCCAGTGGGACACCCTCCTAAAGCAGAGTGGCTGTATGGCTTCCTCGATCTCAAGTGTCAAGCCTTTTTTTTTTTCTTTAGTTTTTATTTTAGAGACAGAGTCTCGCTCTGTCACCCAGGTTGGAAGGCAGTGGTGCCACCACAGCTCACTGCAGCCTGAACCTCCTGGGCTCAATCAATCCTCCCACTTAAGCCTCTGGAGTAGCTGGGACCACAGGCACGTGCCACCACACTTGGATAATCCTTAAAATTGTTTGCAGATGCTGGGCACGGTGGCTCATGCCTATAATCCCAGTACTTTGGGAGGCTGAGGCGGGCAGATCACGAGGTCAGGAGATTGAGACCATCCTGGCTAACACGGTGAAACCCCGTCTCTACTAAAAAATACAAAAAATTAGCCAGGTGTGGTGGCGGGTACCTGTAGTCCCAGCTACTCAGGAGGCTAAGGCAAAAGAATGGCGTGAACCCGGGAGGTGGAGCTTGCCGAGATCACGCCACTGCACTCCAGCCTGGGCAACAGAGCAAGACTCCACCTCAAAAAACAAACAACAAAAAAAAGTGTTTGCAGAAACGGGATCTCGCTGTGTTTCCCAGGCTGGTCTCGAACTCCTGGACTTAAATCCTCCCGCCTCAGTCTCCCAAAGTGCTGGGATTCCAGGCCTGACGGTGAAGCTCCGCATTGCTGACAAGGCCGGGATCCAGCTCCTGCGCCTGTCTCCAGCCTCACATCGATGCCCATCCCACAGGCAAACACCTCGCCTACACCCCCCGTCCGCCTTGTGGCTCTCCCCATTTTCCGAGCGCTTTGTCCCCGCTTGCCATCAGCGGTCCCCTCCCTCAGCACTGCCTTTGTAGGCGACTTGCTCTTCTCCATCAAGACTCAGCTCTCCCACCAAGCCTTTCTTGACCTCTGTGGCCCTGTGAGCCTCGCCCCCTCGGGCAGCTCCTCCTGCTCCAGCTAGAGGGAAGACGTCACAGGTGCCTGCTGAGGACACCACCGCACCCTGCCTGCACGCCCCCAACTTCCCCAGCCTCCCCCTTTTGCAGGCTGTCCCTTTTTTGGACTCTCTGTGCGGCTGAGCAGTCCGATTCAGCATGCCTTTCCTTTTGAAGTGGATACCTCCTGGTTTCCATGACCAAAACCACCTCCGTCCGGAACTGGTTTCATGTCCAACTTGGCCCTGGTGCTGTGGTTTCCTTCCCAATCGTCCCCACTCCTCCCTTAAGCTGTGAAACTAGAGGTGCTCAGAGGGCGCCTCCCAGGGCTCCGCTCCAGCAGCCTCTGGACCACAGGGGCACTCAGGGAATATGTGGACAGTACCGCGCACCCCCCAGCAGCACCTCCCCGGGCCCCCTGTGCGGAGGACGGTCCACATCACTGTGTCCACATCACGGAAGGGTCCCTGGCTAGTGCCTTGTGGACCCATCCAACCTGGCAGAGATTAGATGTTCGAGAGACACGTATTGCATAGAAAATACTGGAGGGTAAAGAGGGGAGGCGGGACTCCTTCAGGGGAGGTGGTGGGGGTGGGACTTCGCGGTTTAGGAATTGCCCCCCGGCGCTCCAACTGCCCCGCCCCACCTCACCGCAGCGCCTCCAGCACCCCGCCCCACCCTACCGCACCCCACCCGGTCTCGCCCCGCACCACCCCACCCCTACCTGCTCCGCCTCCCCCGCGTGCCACGCCCCCTCCGCGTCGCCCCGTCCCGCCCGCCCCGCCTCGGCCCGGCCCCACCCACTCTCCCCGCCCCGCCCTGCCCTCCCCACCTGCCGGGCCCCGCCGGGGCGCGCCCGCAGCTCACCTGTAGGCCCAGGGCGACACGCTACGCAGGTTGGTGGGCGGCCGGAAGCGGCGGTCGGCGGGCCTGCCCCCTGCCGGGCAGCTCGCGTTGCGCGCCTGCTCGCGCGGCCCCAGCTGCAGCGTGTGGTGGAAGGCGCTGAGCACGCCGGCCGCCAGCCGCCCGTACAGCTGCTCCAGGAGCTCCTCCGGCCGGTCCGCGCAGCCCCGCGGCCGCGCCGGGCGCCTGCCCGCCCTCGGGGCGCCCGCGGCCCAGCCCGGCGGCAGCGCCAGCAGGAAGCCGGCTACCAGCATCCAGACCTGAGGTACACGCCAAGCTCAGCGCCCGCGCGCGCCGGAGGAGCCCGCCTGCGCCCCGCGCCCGTGTCCCGCCCGCCGCGCCCGGAGCCGGCGGGCGCCTCCCCTCGCCCCGCGGAGCCGGAGGCCGGCCCGGAGGATGGGAGCCGCGCGGGCGGGCCCCAGAGCGCCCTCCCCGCCTGCCCGCCGCCCGCGGGGTCCCCGGGGCCCAGCCCGGCGCCGGCCCGCGCGCCCCAGGCCCCCGCCGCCGCCGCCGCCCCGAGCCGGGCGCCGTACGGGGGGCGGGTGCGGGGCGCGCGTGCACGTGTGCGTGTGCCTGCCGGGCTGCTGCGCCGCGGGCTGCGAGTGCTTGTGACCCGCCGCACCCTCACCCCTGGGCGCGCCATCCCTGTGCCGCCGCCAGCGAGGGAGCCCCGGAGCCTGAGACGCCCGGACCCGCCGCCTCGCAGACCCACCCATGCCCCCGCGCCTCGTCATCCGCCCGCCCCCGCCAACGCACGCGGGGTCCGGGGCCCGCTTTTCCGCGAGAAGCCCCCTGTGGTCTTTCCTCGTACCCCGGGACTCGGACCGAGGAGCCGACTGAGCGAGGTCGCCGCCCGGCCTCACGGACACAGAGCGGCTCTGCACCCTTCGCCTCCAGGAGCTGAAAACATTTTGTCACTTGTGCAGTGTACTCACCAGTGCCCCCAACATCTTCTCCCCCGAAAACGCTTTCAGATTCGCGCCGAGGTGGGGCGACGCGGCGGCTCTTTAGCGGAATAACTCGAAGGGCCACGCGAACAGGCGCTCCCAGCCGCGAGCATGCGGCGGGGCGCCCAGGGCCTGGGGTCGCGCGCTCCGGGCCTGTGCTGCGCCACGCAGGGGGAGGAGAGGGCTGGTCCTGCCGGCCGCGGGTGCGGGCCCGACTGACTGAAGGAGGAGTGGGGACTGGCCTGGAAGTCTCCGGAGCAGAAAAGTGGGGCCGACAGGATGGAGTTGGGGGAGGCCGAGTTTTGGCTCAGAGATTTCTCTGTTAAGGAAAGCAGTCCAAGAATGGAATAGGCCCCCTGGAAGAGGAATGCACTCAAACCCAGAGGGATTCTCCTTAGAGCTACCTCTTTTGAGATTCCGTACTTCGAGGAAATTAGAGATTTTTTTAAATCTCTTTTTTTAACAAGGTGGGAGGAGGCTGTTTCTCCTTTCTCCTCAACAACGTGAAATGATCCTGTGCCTCTATCCGACAACTGTAAAACAAAGCACTGCATCCTTCCCTGACTGGCACTTTCATGGCTGTTCACGGGCATCTCTTGGCCTATGACGACGATGTTGGAGAGTTCCTACCCCGTGATAACTGAGTTCTAAGTGCAAGCAGTCACGTGAAATGAGCCTGATTGTCTGCGAATGAAGAAACTAAAATGAACTATATTCTATACTTCGTAACACAAGACAACGCGCTCGTTCATTCCGCAAGTAAACGCTTAATGCTTCCTAGGTGGCAGGCTAATGAATATGATCATTTTAAAGCAGCCATGCTTTGAAAACAACCCATCCCAGCTGTAAGCTTTTTGAAAGTGTACAAATTATGTAATTGATGACTCCCTAAATGGTTTGCAGCTTTGGTAGTTGACTGAATTGTAAACCATTAGTTAAACTACATTTCAGTTGTGCTTTGTAAGAAAAACACTTTTCTATGCCTTGAATGTTCTATAACTAAGGAGCTTGGTAATCTGCTAAAAATCACACTGAAGTCTCCAGTTTAAGCGATTAAAGCAATTTACAGCTCTTGGCAAATATTTGTTTTCGGTTATAAAACACTTTTTTTCTGACTAGTACATTGTTAATGTTCTTTGTTTACGTTCCAGTAAAATGGGAATAAAGGTTTCAGTACTCAAATGCTGCTTAGTTTTTATTGGAAAAAAGGAAGCGTGGGAGGCTTTTAGGAGAGTATCATTATGAGAGTTTCATAGAAATACTGTCTCATTTCCGCATCCATTCCTATATGAGGTGACATGGTACCAGACTTAGTTCTGTATATTATTCAACAAAATATTTTCCACTGTCTGGTAACATGGCAACTTCTCTCGTTTACCCCGCTGCCCCCCACCCCCCACCCCCGCCATTACCTTGGAAGTGGGAAGGAAAATATTTACTTTCCAGCAGTTTTCATTACAAGTGACTGAAAATGCTCACCTATTTGACAGAACAAAGGTGAACTTTGTGAGACTAATCACTTGGGAAAAAGTCTTATAAATAGGTGCAAATGTTTATGAGTTCCCCTCAAATTTCAACATATTTATGAAGATGAAAAATAAGCATGTTAATAATTAAGTTCAAACCTAAGACATGCAAGTGAAAAAAGGGAACAAAATACTCAAAAGCAGGCTCATCGTGTTCCCTTAAAACCAACACATCTGCAGTGTGGCCACGCAAGCTACATTTGAAGCCCCTCCAGTCCCTCACCCCTGGTTTACTCAGCACCCCCAATACTAGCACAGCTGCAGGACTGCTTGGCGTGAGGCAAGCTGCTGGAGAAAATCTTTTAAATCATCCTTAGGCACTGTAACTCCAAAAGCCGGTGTGCGGTTGGCTCCTTGCATACTCATCTTCTTGGGTTACTGATGTTCAAATCTACCAAAGCCTCTTCTCTTCCTTAAAAGCCTGTCCTTGGGGCTGGGCACGGTGGCTCACGCCTGTAATCTCAGCGCTTTGGGAGGCTAGGCGGGTGGATCAAGAAGTCAGGAGGTGGAGACCAGTCCGCCCAACATGGTGAAACCCCGTCTCTACTAAAAAAATACAAAAAGCCAAGCGTGGTAGCGCATGCCTGTAATCCTAGCTACTCAGGAGGCTGAGGCAGAGGAATCACTTGAATCTGGGAGGCGGAGGTTGCAGTGAGCCGAGATTGCACCACTGCACTCCAGCCTGGGCAACAGAGCTAGACTTCGTCTCAAAGAAAAACAAAACAAAACAAAACTGTGCTTGGATGTTCCTACTGATAGTGCTTCTCATTGCTGTCACCTTCCTGGTCACTCACTTGATTCACCGATTTCAGCCCCTGGATCTACCATTATTCCTGCTGATCATTCCTGGCACCGTCACCTCCACAGAGACGGTTTACATGCTGATTTCTAAGTGACTGTGTTAGTTCCAATGGTCTTTATTTCCTATCTCAACTGTCGTCGTATGGTCATATCCAAGGTTTCGTCGTCGCCAATAACTGCAGCATATCCGAACATCTGATTTCAAATATCCTATTCCCTGACACACGTACCTTCTGTTTTCGCCCACTCCTGCAGTTCTCTGCCGTCATCCAACCTTCTCCCACTTCTCACTAACCATTCCACCCTGGAGTCCTTATGTCCTTTCTTGTCTAGTTTAGATTTCACAGGTCGACACTCACCACACCCTTGCAAACACCCTTACTTAATCCCTTTCTCCTTTTTTCTCTGTTGTACTTGCCTAGAATCCCAACTCTTAAAAATCATACCACTGAGCTGAGTAGACTCAATTCTGAGTTATGACCCAAATCTCAGATTAACTTTCAACATAAGTATCCTATTACATCTCTGCAATTATGGTCTTTTCCTGTATCACTAATCTACATATTCTCTCTCCTCGAGTCTCCGCTGCCCAATTCCTTCCTCACACCTTCCACAGACACAGATGAGAGCTTTTACATTTCTTTCAACCAGCAAATGCGCTAACTTACTCCCACCCAGTCTGATGTCTCCCACCTTCCTTCCTGATGCATTTGATAAACCCTTTCTTGACCCCAGGTCCCACTTGACTCCCCTTTACAGCTAAGATTCTGAATTTTTATTTTATTGTATTTTTGAGATGAAGTTTCCCTCTTATTGCCTGGGCTGGAGTGCAGTGGTGTGATCTCGGCTCACTGCAACCTCCACCTCCCGGGTTAAAGCTATTCTCCTGCCTCAGCCTCTCGAGTAACTTGGAAGACAGACAAGCGCCACCACGCTGGGCTAATTTTGGAATTTTCAGTAGAGACGGGGAGGGTTTCTCCATCTTGGCCAGGCTGGTCTCGAACTCTTGACCTCAGGCGATCTGCCGGCCTTGGCCTCCCAAAGTGCTGGGATTACAGGCGTGAGCCACCGCGCCTGGCCTTGATGGGCATTCTTTTTCTTTTTTTTTCAACCTATCTGTGCCTTTAGACAGTCACATGTCACTTATCAACAGGGATGCATTCTGAGAAATGTAAGGTGATTTCGTTGCTGTGTGAACACCCTAGATTGTATTTACACTGAGTATAGCCTACTATACAACTGGGCTCTCTGAGGTGTAGTTAAGGCTACAACACATCTAGGCTACAAACTTGTACAACATGTTACTGTACTGCATACTGTAGGCAATTATAACACAATAGTAAGTATTTGTGTATGTAAACATAGAAAAGGTACAGTAAAAATTGGGTATTGTAATTGTATGGGACCACCATCATCTATGTGGTCTGCTGTTGACTGAAATCATGTTATGTGGTGCAGGACTGCATTTAAAATGTGTCTCTTGTAAGTAACATATAGTTGAGTCTTGTTTTTTAATAGTCTGATAATCTTTGTCACTTAATTGGAATATTCTGTTTACATTTGCTGTATTAACATAACTAGCATTTACTAATTATTAATATAATTGAGTTTGCATTTTTATAATTATTAGTGTAATGTAATTACTAATATAAATAGGTTTAAGTCCTATTTTGCTGCTTGTTTTCTCTTTGTTCATCTGCTCTTTATTCCTTTATTTCTCCTTTACCTGCCTTTCTTTGGATTAATCAAGTATTTTTTATCATTATATTTTGTCCTCCATTAATTTTTTTATTTTTATTTATTATTTTTAGACGTGGAGTCTTGCTCTGTCACCAAGGCTGGAGTGCAGTAGTGCTGTCATAGCCCACTGTAACCTCGAGCCCCTGGACTCAAGCCGTCGTCCTGCCTCAGCCTCCTGAGCAGCTAGGACTACAGGTAAACACCACCATGCCCAGTTATATTAGCTTAAAAAAAAACGTTTATTTTGAAATAATTTCAGACTTACAGAAAAGTTGTAAGGAGAGTATGAAGGAACTCCACATACCCTTCACTCAGTTCCACTACTTGTTAACATTTCTCCACATTGCTTTTTCACCGCTTTCTTCTGAACCACGGAGCCACCAAAAATCAGGACCCTTTGTCCCACAACACCTGAGTGTGTATTTCTCAGGAACAAAGACATTCGCTTATGTAACCGTAGTGCAATTCTAAAAATTAAGACATTTTACAAATACTTATATAGATGGTCTCCAGCGTATGATCGTTCGATTATGATTGTTCGACTTTGTGATGAGCTTTTTGGGACATAGCCCTATGGTAAGTCGAGGAGCCTCTGGATTTAATGATAGTTCGAGCTATGATTTTTCATCTTTATGACTGGTATAACAGAGCAGTAAATGTGTTTTCAACGTGTGATATGTTTTAACAATGGGTTTATCAGGATGCAGCCCCTTCATGAGTTGAGGAGCATCTGTACATTCCTATTCCCATTTCACCAGCTGTCTCTACAGCAAAATTCCCCCAGTCCAGGATCTCAGCAAGGATCACGCATTACATTTTGTTGACATGTCTCTTTAGTCTTCCTTCCTTTCCCCTCCTCTTCCCTCCCCTCCCCTCCTCTTCCTTCCCCTCCCCTCCCTCCCTCCCTTCTTCCTTTCTTCCTTCCTTCCTTTTTGTCTTCCTCTTTCTTTCCTTCCTTCCTTCCTTCTCTCCTTCCTTCCTTTTTTCTTTCTTTTTCTCTTCCTCTCTCTCCTTCCTTCCTTCCTTCCTTCCTTCCTTCCTCCTCCCCCCCTCCCTCCCTCCCTTCCTTCCTCCCTCCCTTCCTTCCTTCTTTTTTGTTTTTTGTTTTTTTGACAGAGTCTCACTGTGTTGCCCAGGCTGGAGTACAGTGGCACAATCTTGGTTCACTGCAACCTCCGCCTCCTGGGTTCAACTGATTCTTGTTCCTCAGCCTCCCAAGAAGCTGGGATTACAGGCGTGCACCACCAGGCCCAGCTAATTTTTTGTATTTTTAGTAGAGATCAGAGCAGGGGGGTCCCACTATGTTGGCCAGACTGGTCTTGAACTCCTGTCCTCAAGCGATCCACCTGCCTTGGCCTCCCAAAGTGTTGGGATTACAGGCATGAGTCACTGCACCCAGCCTGCTTTAGTCTTCCTTAATCTGGAATAGTTCCTCAGACTTTTTTTTGTCTTTAATGGCCTTGACATTTTTGAAAAGTAGCGGCCAGTTATTTTGTCGAATGTTCTTCAGTTTGGTATTGCTTCATGATTCGATTCAGGTTAGTTTTTCTGGCAGGAATATTGACTAGGTAATCTTGTATTTTTTCAGTGTCTCACATCAGGAGGCACAAGGATTTTATTCATCCCATTATTGGCTGTGTTAACTTTGGTCATGATTGAGGTACCACCAGGTTTCTCCAATATAAAATTTCTTTTCTTCCTCTTATGATTAATAAGTAATTCATGGGGGAAAACTTTGGGGCTATGTAAATATGCTATTCTCATCAAACTTTTCTTCACTTGCTTTAGCAATCAGTGATGATTCTTGCTTGGATTAATTAATATTGTGGTGGTTGTAAAGTGGCGATTTTAATTTTATTTATTTATCTATTAGTTATTATTTCTCTATTTATTTTTAGAGATAGTGTCACACTCTGCCACTCAGGCTGGAGTACAGTGGTGCCATCATAGCTCACTGTAGCCTCAAACTCTTGAGCTCAAGTGATCCTCCCACCTCAGCCTCCCAAATAGCTGGAACTATAGGCACTCGCCACTGTGCCTGGCTTATTTTTTAATTTTTTGTAGAGACAGTGTCTTGTTTTGTTGCCCAGGCTGGTCTCAAACTCCTGCCTTCAAGCAATCCTTCTGCCTCGGCCTCTCAAAGTGCTGGGATTACAGGCATGAGTCACTGCACCTGGCTGATTTTATCATTCTTTCCATATTCATTAGTTGTACTATTAGCTTTTTAATTGTACATTGTGCAAACCACTCCTCATTATGGTCTAGCACTGTCTGAATGATACAAGAAACTTCGTTGAATACCCAGTCCCAATCTTTGGACTAGTATTATCAATATTTTATTTCTACGTATCTTAAAATTCCACAAGTCATTATTATTGTTGTTTTAAATAGTCAATATATATCTTTTATATATCCCTATACCTTTCTGGTACTTTTCATTATTTTTCAACTTTGTGATCTGTTTCTGTCATTTCATGCTGCTTTCTAGGATCATCTTCCTTTAGCCTGTAGGACTTTAAGCATTTTCTGTAGAGCTAGTCTTCTGGTAATTAATTTTCTCAAATTTTGTTTGTCTGAAAAGTCTTTTTTTTTTTTTTTTTAAGACGGAGTCTTGCTCTGTTGCCCAGGCTGCAGTGCAGTGGTGCAGTCTCAGCTCACTGCAACCTCCACCTCCCAGGTTCAAGCGATTCTCCTGCCTCAGTCTCCTGAGTAGTTGGGATTACAGGTGCCTGCCACCACGCCTGGCTAACATTTGTATGTTTTAGTAGAGACAGGGTTTCACCGTGTTGGCAAGGCTGGTCTCGAACTCCTAACTTCAGGCGATCCACCCTCCTCGGCCTCCCAAAGTGCTGAGATTACAGGCATGGGCCACTGCGCCCGGCCTGAAAAGTCTTTAAAGTTTATAGGATAGATTCACTGTAATATAATTCTAGGTTGGCAGACTTTTAATTTTTTTTGTTTTTCAGCACCTTAAAGATACCATTCTATTGTCTTCTGGTTCCTTAGTTTTATTGAAAAGTTAGCCATAAATCTTGTTTCTCTGAAAGTTCTGTCCTTGTAATTCTGCTTATCTTAAGGACTTTGTGGGTTTTAGCAGTTTGAGCACAGTGTAACTACAGTGTAGTCTTCTTTGTATCTCCTTGGTGCTCACTGAACTTCCTAAATCTGTGGCTTTATGTCTTTTTCAATTTAGGGAAATTGTAGACATCATCTCTTCTAATGTTACTTCTACCCCATTCTCCCTTCCACTCCTTCCGGGATTCCCATTCTAATTATTTAAACTCTTGACTGTGTCCCAAGTGTCTCTTATCAGCTGCTTCATTTTTCCAGTCTTATGTCTGTCTGCTTTAGTTTGGATGTTTTTCTATTGACCTATTCACTAATCCTGACATCTGCTGTGTCTGGTACGTTGTTCAATCCATCCAAATAAGTTAATTTCAGATAGTGTCTTTCAAAGTTATTTGACTCTTTTTCACAGATTCCAACATTCAGTTGAAATTTTCCATCTTTTTATCCATTTTATTAACACACTAGTCACAAGTCCCTGTTTGTTAAATCCATTATCTGGATTATCTAGGGGACTGCTTCTATTTACACTTTCTCTTGATTGCTGGTCATATTTTCTTGACTCCTTGCATTCTAGTAATTTTTTTTTTTTTGAGATGGAGTCTCGCTCTGTCGCCCAGGCTGGAGTGAGTGGCGCGATCTTGGCTCACTGCAAGCTCCGCCTCCCGGGTTCACACCATTCTCCTGCCTCAGCCTCCCAAGTAGCTGGGACTACAGGCGCCCGCCACCACACCCAGCTAATTTTTTGTATTTTTAGTAGAGGCGGGGTTTCACCGTGTTAGCCAGGATGGTCTCGATCTCCTGACCTCGTGATCCACCTGTCTCGGCCTCCCAAAGTGCTGGAATTACAGGCGTGAGCCACCGCGCCCGGCCACAGTAATTTTTTTTATTACATGCCAAGCATTGTATATTTAAGAACCATAGAGACTGCAAATGATATTGTTACCATAGAAAGGTCCTCTTTCCTCTGTTAGGCAGAGAGGATTCAGGACTAATTATTTCAATCCAGTCAGGGATTGAACTGAGTTACAGGGTCCCCTTCTGTTGCCCAGGCTGGAGTGCAGTGGTACAACCACAGGTCACTGTAACCTTGAAGTCCTGGTCTCAAGTCATCCTCCTGCCTCAGCCTCTCGAGTAGTGGGGATTATAGGTGCCTGCCACCATGCCCCGGCTAATTTTTTTATTTTTTTGTAGAGACAGGGTCTCACTATGTTACCCAGGCTGGCCTTGAACTGGCCTCAAGCAATCCTCTTGCCCCAACCTCCAAAAGCACTGGGATTACAGGCATGAGCCATCTCACCCAGCCTGGGCTGCAGAGTTTGTAAGGGTCAGTCCACCCTTGATTCATGTTTGTCCTTCTAGGCGTTTGATTAGGAGCCTGGATTTGTCTCCTCAGCTGAGACAGATGGAAAGAGTCAAGTTGGTCCCTCCAAGTTTTGACTTTAGCCTCCTGCCCCCATGCAGATTCAAAAAATAGCAAGTATCTTTTTTTTTTTTTTCTTCAAGACAGAGTCTTGCTCTGTTGCCCAGGCTGGAGTACAGTAGCACAGTCTCAGCTCACTGCAACCTCCGCCTCCCGGGTTCAAGCAATTCTCTGCCTCAGCCTCCCAAGTAGCTGGGATTACAGGCGCCCGTCACCATGCCCAGCTGATATTTGTATTTTTAGTAGAGACAGGGTTTCACCATCTTGGCCAGAGGCTGGTCTTGACCTCCTGACCTCGTGATCCACCCACCTCAGCCTCCCAAAGTGCTGGGACTACAGGTGTAAGCCACCGCGCCTGGCCCAAAAGAGCTATTTCTAAATAAACTGCTGATCCTGCCTGTTTTTCTGTAGACATTCGCCAGTTCTAGGCATGGGCTAAGAACTGCACTTTCCCCAGGGAAAAGGTATCATCTAGAGAAACTAGCAGAGCTTTCGGTGGTCACTTGGGGTCAGCATGACAAACTGGAGACTTAGAGAAGCCCCAAATGTATGGCTGGCTTTCCCCCATGGGGCATTTGCTGGAGTGCTGCTTCAGCTGGGGTAATGCTGGAGGCTGGGGAACTGGGATGGAGGCTCTTCAGGGCTTAAATCTCCCATAGTTCTTAGGGGACGATGTCCTGCTAGGGGGAAAGGCTTTCCACAAGTTATTTGCTATTTAGTCTACCCTCAAGATAACTGCTATTTTGGGGGCCGGGCATAGTGGCTCACACCTGTAATCCCAGCACTTTGGGAGGAGGTGGATGGATCAGTTGAGGTCAGGAGTTTGAGACCAGCCTGGCCAATACGGCAAAAACCTGTCTCTACTAAAAATACAAAATTTAGCTGGGCATAGTGCTCGTCTGTAATCCCAGCTACTTGGCAGGCTGAGGCAGGAGAATCTCTTGAACCCGGGAGGCGGAGGTTGCAGTGAGCCAAGATCGCACCACTGCACTCCAGCCTGGGTGACAGAGCGAGATGTCTCAAAAAAAAAAAAAAAAAAAAAGGCTCTTTAATTTTTAGTTTTATTGCTTCCACAGCTCTCCACAGACTTTGAACACATGATTTTTGCAATGATTTGTTTTTTTCCCCAGCTGCCTCAGAGGCCTTCCATGACCTACTGCATCCTCCTCAGAACTGGAAGTTTGAATCCTGAAACCTCCTACATCACTTGTTGCTCTTCTCAGTCTCTTCTGCTGAGCCATCCTTTTTCTCCTGTACTCACGAGCACAGTGCTTATACTTCTTCTCTGTCCTCACTCTCAGACCTAAGTGATCTCATTCAGTTTCATGGTTTTAAGTACGAAGTGTACATAGGTGGATCCCACATCTCTACCTGTAGCCCTCACCTCTTCTGTGACCTCCAGATTTTGAAGATTAACTGCATTCTTTGTATCTCAAATTGAATGCTTAAGAGACAAACTTAATATGGCTAAACCACATCTACTTATTCCCCCCAAATCTATTCCTATCTTACTAAAAAGACAACACTAGCCACTCCGTTAGCCACAAATTTTGGCATCATCTTTTCCTTTCTTCCCCTCACAATCCACATCCAATCCATTAGTAAGTCTCAGCTCCACCTCCAAATATATGCTGAATCTGACCAATTCTCACAATTCCTATTGCTAAAAACCTGGTCTCAATTGCTTTCATCTCTTACCCAGGCTACTGCTAGTAGTTTCCACTTTTCCCTTCCATCCCCCTTGCCCACTTCATCTTCATGGCGACCAGCGTGATGACTGGTTTCTAAAGGTTAAATGAAAGCACTTAACTCACCTCCCTTGCATGAAACCTTCTAGCAGCTGTTCTGTAGTAACTAGGGTAAGATCCACACTGTCTTTATAAGGCTGTACATGCTCTGAACCCTGCCTACCTTTTGGATCTCATCTCCTTTCCCTTTCCTGCCTATGTAGCACACCACCCACATTGCTGGATCCCAAACCCTCTCACTCACTGTCACTGTAGCTCAATCACCCTGTGACACATCCGGATCATTCATTTTTCAGTGTGCGGCACGTGCTCAGAACACTGCTTTCTTCTCACCATTCTAATGTTAATACCAAGGCCACCTCTTAGAGTCCCTCCTCTATAATCACTACCTATTGCATTGCTCCATTTTGTTCTCTTAACTGTAATTAACAATATCTAGAGTCCTTTAAAAACATATTTTCTGGCCGGGCACGGTGGCTCACACCTGTAATCCCAGCTTTGGGAGGCCAAGGTGGGTGGATCACGAGGTCAAGAGTTCAAGACCAGCCTGGCCAACATGGTGAAACCCCGTCTGACTAAAAATACAACAGTTAACCAGGCGTGGGGGTGCACGCCTGTAATCCCAGCAACTCGGGAGGCTGAGGCAGGAGCATCGCTTGAAACCAGGAGGTGGAGGTTGCAGTGAGCCGACATTGTGCCACTGCACTCCTGCCTGGGCAATAGAGTGAGATTCCATCTCAAAAAAAACCCCAAACAAACAAAATATATTTTCCATCTTCCCCACCAGAATTTAAGCTTCTTGAGGGCAAGGTATAGTTCTTTTTCACTACTGTATCCCCCCAATCTTAATTAATTCTCTGCACATACTGGATGTTTAGTGTATTTGTTGGATGTCTCATCCATTAGAGCATAACCTACTTTGGGAGCAAGGAATGTGGTCTAGTTTTGGTTTTCCTTCCTCGCATCTAAGACCAGCATGCACATTGCAGAGACAATGGTAAGTAGGATTGAGGGGTCCATTCTCTTTGGTATAGTGTTAAGAGATAAGCCACTTCTTCTGACTTCCTCATCCTTATAGTTCCTCTGGAGACTCTAGACCAGCCAAACACATTGCTAAAGAAAAATGCAGGCAGTCATGCCCCCACCCCGCTAAGTCACAAATGAGAAAAGCAATCTTAGAGTTGTTATTGCTCTGTGCTTTTGGTGCACACCCCCGGGCTGAGGTAGAAAGGAACTTCTGAAAAGAGCACTAGTTATGGTTTGGTATTTAATCCCATTACCCTTTATACTGCTTCTAAAACATAATTGTTTTAATAGTGTTTCTAATCCCCACGAGGCAAAGCTTCCAAAGAATTTCCAAACTCCAAGCAATTTAAGTATGAATAGAAATTGTGCTATGTCCACACAGCATTTTTCAAGTTGCAAGCCATGAAATCCATGTAGTGACTTCACTACTAGCACTTTGTTTGAATGAAATTATAGCAAATATTAGCAGGTACTGCAATAAGAAGAGTAAATTTTTATGACTACATATACATATATGTACTAGGTTGTGTTATAAATTTATTTCTTCCTGTGTGTCAATGTTTTCAAAAAGCTAAGTCAGTCATTGGCCTAAAGTATTAGTTTTACCTGTTTTTAGTCCTTAAAAGAAAAAAACAACTTAAATGCATACTTACAAAATAGAATACACTTATTTAAAGTTTTGACAGTGAAAAAAAATTACAGGTTGGATATTTAATCCAAGGTTTAACATGAGGATGGTCTCATAAGGCAATTTCTTTCCTTTAATAAATAACATATTAAAGTGAATATTATTCTGGAAGCAAATCATCTCCTAATTCTTCATCAGCAAAATCATCCTCATCGATCCTTTTTTTGGCTGCAGTTTTTGGTCTTTCTATTTGAGGGCCAAGCGGGTCCACATAGGAGGCATCTAGGTTTCAAAAGATATTATCATGTTAGAGTTATATAAACAAAACAAATGTGAAACCAATCAGGCTCATAATCAAAATGAGTAACTCAGAGTGAACAGAAATGGTCTCCCAAGTCATTTTACATTTTATCTGTAAATATCAATTTCTTAAGAATTCCCAGCGACACCTTTGGCCATCTCACCAGTCTTCTTCAGACCTGCTGTGTGTGGAGGAACTGGGTGGGGGGCACTTGCCTATTTCTTTGTTACTGCTACTTTCATAAGGTTCATTTGTCCCAGGTAAAGCTCTGAGTCTGGCACTTAGTCGTTCACCTTTACTACCGGCACTATAGTTCTGGCCACTATCTGAAAACACAAAAATAAAAACGCATTTGTTTAATATGTTGAGAAAACATAAAACTACATTATGCATCTTAAAGCATACTTATTTGCCAAAAAACAAGCAGGTTGTTTCATTTGGAAGCCAGCTTCTTAGGGATGTAATTCTTGTTTTCTGAAATTTAAAAGAAATACCTTGTGGGAATCTATAATATAGATAAAACATCACTTAAGAGTAGCCTGTATCTGTATATGTATTCTTTCAAATGTGTGCTTAGTTATAGGTTTCAATTTTATGGAAGATCTTAAGAGAAAGTAAGAGATCACCCTGACTAGTATAACCTAGCAAAGAACAAAGCACCTGAAGAAAGAACAAATGGGAAGTCACAAGCTCAGATCAACCTCCTGTCGTGCCTGGAGAGGGGCCCTAAAACCACATCACATGAAAAACAGCAGAGGAGGCTAGGTAAACTTAACCTAGCGGGCGGAGAACCTAGACCACACAAGCACTTTCTTCAAACATTTGAAGCGTGTTCGTAGACAAGAGGATTAGACTTCCCCTGTATAGCAGCATAGATTTTGGCTTGATATAATGACAAACCTAAAAAAGAATTATAATTGCCCAAATAGGCAATGGCTGCCTTAGGAAAAAATGTAATATGTATCACTGAGGATTTTCAGATAAAGCTGAACACTAACATAAGTAGGAAATGTTATAGTACTTTTTAACCAGAAATTTCTGTAGTATTTTCTAGAAGAACTACTCCTCTAGCCCCACAGTTTTCCTTTCTTCCCCTTATAATTCCTACAGTGATATTTTTTCTATTATGTAAGCCTCACTTTTAATGAGAGTAGTCCACTGATAAACACACTGACCATTTCTTTTTTGAATATACTTTGTATTTTAGTTTACTGATAATGTCTCTGGGAATAAATCTGAACAAGATGGTCTTTAAAATCCCCACATTTTAAGATTGGCCAACTGACCCAAAATAGTAAGTCCTCTCTAAGGTTCTTATCCAAAACTTTGCCATTTCCCTTACCACTGATGTTACCGGAAAATAAAACTCTTCAGTGTATTGAATATGTCTACACATTTTAGTATATTTTAAATTATTCTGTCCCTATTTTTTGTTAAAACAAAAGTTAATTTTTTCCATGCAGAAATGTATGTGGGTGTCTTTTAAACTGCCTGAGCGAGCTCAGATCAATAAAGTTTGAAAAACATTGCTCTAGGGATATTTCTTTTACTTTGCTTTTTTTTCCTGAATAATGTATATCCTACCTGTCTCCAAGAAAGGTTTAAGATAAGCCACCAAATATATACACAATAACCATACAGCGATCTTTTAAAAGATGAATGAGTACGTGAGAAGAAAAGTTTGGGTGAGAAATGTAAAACAAAGTTGGGAGGGAGTGGTCCAAACAGGCCTTCTTGCCTTAGGGTTGGCAGTCAAGGAAGGGCACAGGTACACACAGTTCTTTGACTCATGGGTACATAAGATATGACAACCAACGTCTCCACAAAAATGTAGGTGTTCCCATTACAGAGATAAGATGGAAATGCCTCACAGAACTGCTCACTGAGGAATACTGTGGAATGTCAGAAACACACCCTCATTAGTAAATACAACAACATTATTTCACTTTTTATATAGATGTAAATTACCAACAAAACCCTGATAGCTCCCTCAGGCACCCCAAACCCTTCGGAAATCCAAATCCAAATTCCTAGCCTGAAAGATTCACATTTTGTGGAAAAAGCAAACCTTTAAAAAGTAAAACTTGGGGCCAGGCGTGGTGGTTCATGCCTGTAATCCCAGCACTTTGGGAGGCCAAGGTGGACAGATCATGAAGTCAGGAGTTCGAGACCAGCCTGATCAACATGGTAAAACCCTGTCCTCTACTAAAAATACAAAAATTAGTTGGGCATGGTGGCATACACCTGTAATCCCAGCTACTCGGGAGGCTGAGGGAGAAGAATCACTTGAGCCTGGGAGGCAGAGGCTGCAGTGAGCTGAGATCGTGCCACTGCACTCCAGCCTGGGCTACAGAGCGAGATTCTGTCTCAATAAATAAATAAATAAATAAAAATAAAATAAAGTGCTTATATAAAAAATAAAAGTTGTCTAGGCAGAGTGGCATGCACCTATTATCCCAGCTACTTGTGGGATGAGGTGGGAGGATCACTTGAGCCCAGGTGTTCAATGCTGCAATAAGCCATGACAGCACCATTGCACTCAGTCTGGGTGATACAGCGAGAACCCATCTCTAAAATAAATAAATAATAAATAAAACCTGACCTCATTTGAAAAATTTCAGTTGTCCAGTTGAAAAACTATAAATGCAATTTTTGAAAGTTTCATTATGAGGACTAGTGTGGGTAATATTGTGAATACTGTGGTTTCATCATTTTCAACTAACTTTCATGGAGTGATAATGTCAAATGATCTTTAACAAAGGTACCAAGGCTACACCTTGGGGCAAAAACAGTCTCTTTAACAAGTGGTGCTAGGAAAACCAGCTATTTCTATGCAAAATAATGACATCAGACCCTTACCTCACACCATAAGCAAAAATTTAACTCAACATGCATTCAGTAGTTAAATGTAAGATCTGAAATTATAAAACTCCTAGAAGAAAACATAGTGGAAAATTGACGTGACAGTAGATTTGGCAATGATTTTTTAGATATGGTATCAAAAGCACACACAAGAAAAGCAAACATAGGCAAATGGTACTACGTTAAACTTAACAACTCCTGTGCAGCAAAGGAAACAACCAACTGGGTGAATAGGCAACCTATAATATTTGCATACTATATATCTGATAAGGGCTTAATATCCAAAATACATAAATAATTAAAACTAAATCAATCTAAAAATTGGGATCTGAATAGACATTTCTCCAAAGAAGATATACAAATGGCCAACAGGCATATGGAAAGCATATGTTCAACATCACTATTCATCAGGGAACTGCAAACCAAAACCACAGTGACACAGCCTCACACCAATTAGGATGACTACTATTAAACACACACACACAAATACCAAAAAACCCTAGAAAATAACAAGTGTTGGTAAGAATGCGGAAAAATTGGATCTCTCATGCATCCTCAAAGGAAGTGTAAAATGGTGCAGCCACTATGAAAAACAATGGAGGTTCCTCAAAAAAAAAAAAAAAAAAAAAAAGAAAGAAATAGAGGCAGTATACAATCTAGCAAGTCCCGCTTGCGGGTATTTAGCCAAAATAAATGAGAAGAGGATTTCAGTGTCTTCACATCCATATTCACTGCAGTATTATTCACAATAGCCAAAAGATGGAAGCAACCTAACTGTCCATTGATAAATGAATGAAGCTTTAAAATGTGGCATATACATACAGTGAAATATTATCAGCCTTCAAAAACAAGGAAATCCTGTCACACACTACAACATGGTTGAACTCTGAGGACATTATGCTAAGAGAAATAAGCCAGTCACAGACAGACAAATACTGCATAATTCCACTTACATGAGGTATCCAATGTAGCCAAACTCTTAGAAAGTAGAATGGTGGTTGCCAAGAGAGGGGAAAGGGTGAAGAGGGAAGTTGTTCATTGGATACAGAGTTTTAATTTTGCAAGACGAAAAATTTCTAGAGCTCTGTTGCACAACAATGTGCATGTAGCTAATACTCTGTATCGTACACTTAAAAATGGGTAAGATGGTAAGTCTTAAGTGTTTCTGACCATCATAAAAAAGGATTTAAAATTTTGCATACCTTTATATTCAACAATTCTACTTTTAAAAATGTTTATTAAGAAAATAAAAAAAAAATTTGGCTGGGCATGGTGGCTCATGCCTGTAATCCCAGCACTTTGGGAGTCTGAGGGGGTGGATCACTTGAGGCCAGGAGTTTGAGACCAGCCTGACCAACATGGCGAAACCCCATCTCTACTAAAAATACAAAAATTAGCTGTGCATCGTGGCACATGCCTGTAATCCCAACTACTTGGGAGGCTGAGGCACAAGAATTTCTTGAACTTGGGAGGTGGAGGTTGCAATGAGCCAAGATCACACCACTGCACTCCAGCCTGGGCAATCGAACAAGACTCTGTCTCAAAAAAAAGAGAAAAAATCATAAAAATATTTGATGACAGAGGAAGATGTGCATGATATCATGGGAAATGATGAAAACAGGGTACAAGTACACACTTACACATATTCATCTCTGGGTATGTGATTTTGATAACTTTAGTTTCTTCTTCTTCCTATCATTATTATTTTATTTTATTCTGGAGATGGGATCTTGCTGTTACCCAGGCTGGAGTGCAGTGGCTATTTACAGGAACAATCGGTACACTGCAGCTCTTGGTTCCATGATCCTCCCACTTCAGCCTCACAAGTAGAGTGCACCACTATAAATGGCTCCTGTTAATTATTTCTGTAATTTAGTTATCAATTATTTTTGTCTGGCAGTTTTCATCTTCCACAATAAATAGTATCCATTTTGGGGGCAGTATTTTAATCCCAAAAAAATTTATCTGAATCTATTCAGTCCTAGAGTTCAGACATCTGTAGTCTCACTTTTAAAATATGTTCTTTATCTGATAATTACAATATTTGTAGTCTTTGACGATTGGACTCTATAGTTTCTGTTGTTGCTTACTCTTAGTGACTTATTTCCTCATGCGTGCCTACTTTTTCTTAACTGTAGGTTCTTACTCTTTGAAACTTAAAGTCAATTCCTTCAAGGAGGATTTAAGTTTATTTTTTGTAGGCATCCTGTAGCCTCACCAACTCCAGTCCACTTTAAACCAAGTTTTCAGCTTGGTGTTCTTCAGAACACACAGATATAATATGTACTCCAGCTCCAAAACTGTGTGAGTGAAGGCTTACGGTTAGGAATTATCAAAAGAGCTCTTCTTGTTTTCTACATTAGAACCAAGGTGAAAATCCATCATCTGTAGGGTGGCCTCTTTTCCTTTCTTTTTTTTTTTTGAGACGGAGTTTCGCTCTTGTTGCCCAAGCTGGAGTGCAATGGCGTGATCTCGGCTCACTGCAACCTCCGCATCCCGAGTTCAAGCGATTCTCCTGCCTCAGCCTCTCGAGCAGCTGCGATTACAGGCATGCGCCACCACGCCCGGCTAATTTTTTTTTTTTTTTTTTGTATTTTTAGTAGAAACGGGGTTTCACCATGTTAGCCAGGCTGGTCTCAAACTCCTGACCACAGATGATCCGCCGGCCTCGGCCTCCCGAAGTGCTGGGATTACAGGCGTGAGCCACCACGCCCGGCCCGGGTGGCCTCTTTTCTACTCGACCTACTGAAAGTGTTGCCAGTGAGAAGTCCTAGCTTTGTGACAGGGATTCTTTGATCTGACCTCTGCTCTGGCCTTTTTGAGGCCCCAGGCCCTATCTCTTGGTCCCCATGAGTGTCTATAATCTGAGGCTCTCAATCATGAGGGATTAGCTAAGCAAATGCCAGTTCCTGCACTTCTTACTCTTTTGGATTTAAACTTTCTAGACCTTTTTGCCTCCAAAGAATTTCCTTCTTTCCTTCCAACTCGGTCATGCATTTTTAAAGGTTTTTTTCATTTTATTTTCTTTTTTCCTCCTCCTCCTTCTTTTCTTTAACATTCAACATACCACTTTTAGGAGAGCTATACTTGGAGTTTTCCTAAATATTTAGACTATCTTACCATCAGACATAGATGTCTGTAATAATTTTACAGTCAGTAGAAACACACAAAAATGTCATTTAAAAGGCTAAGTCTAACCCCTTTATTTTTCAGATGAGAAAACAGGCTTAGGATAGTGAAGTGAAGTGACTTGTTCAAGAGTGCACAGTTAGTGACAAGATCAGCACCAAAACCCAGCCTTCTTGCCTGCCGGCCTGGGCCTTGCCTGTTAGACAAATAGTGCCTCTTTAGCAAAGGATCCGTGTAAAGTGTGGCACCTGGGCCTCATTCATATTCAGATTCCAAGCATATGCTATTCCCAGCTCAGCAGTTTGGCTCGCCCCACGAAATGTGGCTGTCTTAATAATGACAGTTAAGCATTTAAAGGAAACTCACAATCTCTCTTCACCACCCTGTATTTTACACCCTTCTGCTGGCCCAGAACAACCTGACCCCCTCCCTGCCTTATTAAGCAAGTCTGCAAAAACATCGTAACACATTTCTACTTGGTGGCCTTCTACGTCCTGACCTGACCAATGTCTTTACAAGGCAATGCATACGAAGAAGACGACCTATTTGTAACATTTTAGAGTGATGTAGTTTTAAAATATGAAGGTTTTTTTTTGTTTGTTTTTTGTAAGAAAGTGACTTTTAAGCCGGGTGTGGTGGTCTGAGCCTGTAATCTCAGCTACTCAGGAGGCTGAGGCAGGAGGAGAATTTGAGGCCAGGAGTTCAAGAAAGTGAGTCTTATAAAAGGCTGTATTCACAGAATAAATTAAGTAAGGTTAAGGGGCTAACTACATAAACTTTGGTGAAAATTTCTCTCCAAATAAAAATGAATTGTTTCCAAGGAAAGGCAGTCTTTACTCATTTAGAAAGAATATGGTTATGAGCATGAAAATAATTTATAGCAGTAATAAACTTAAGATAGAAAAAATACAGAGAAAATGAAAAGCAATGCCCTTCATTTTTGCTAATTTTCTAAACAGGTTATGGCAGATTTTTATCATATTTAAATTCAATGATTTTGTGAAACTGAGTACATACTACATTTATATAAGTAGTGAAAATAAGAAAAAATGTATCAATTTCTTTATCTTTAACACCACCGATGCT